ATGTACTAAATAGAAACTGAAAGAAACATGAACAATCTTGGTACTATTACCAGTACCTCTTTCCATAAAAATATTTGTCACAATCGGTATAAGCTCGCCCGCAAAAATTCGCCTTACTAATTGCAATAACCGAGTCACTATGCGCACGGTTGCGAATATATACGGTTTGAGCAGCCTGATCCAATTTAACTATTCATGCGAATTAATCCGTCTGGAGCAGTTTGAGCCCTATAAATTTTTAGCGAATATATACGTCTGGAGCAGTGAAAGGGTTAATATTGGTGACGCTAAAATTTAGGGATTTTTAGTTGGGAGTACCAGCTGTGAAATGTTGGTTGCCTAAGCTCAGCGGTCACATGGCTTGTAGTTATTTATGGCTCTATCTACATTAACAGTTTTTCCAAAAAAGTAACAATTTCCTTATAATCATGATTTCTATTTGGTTAAAACAGTAAGACAACTAATTTATGCAATTGCAGTCAAATATAATGTTTATGTTTAGCAGTATGTGCAAAATCGCAGCACCTGTACTATTTGTAGTCTGTTGCATTGCCTTGTTGCAGTGAGTCTCCACGCAAACATCACACTACAGGATTTGTCACAGGTTGCCTCAATTGTTTAGATCACATACTGACACTTCTTAGACTGTGTTTACATATTATTTTTAAATCTATAAATTGTAAAAAACTTTAAAATATTGCGGCATTGTGTTTCTCATTATGAATGTAAAATTGAAAATCAGTTATTACTAAAGCCTTAGCGCAGTTTTCTGAAATATGTAATAAGCGAAAAGTGTAGATAGAACCACTTTGCACTTTACTAAGACTAAGAATGATTTAAATGTTGTATACTTTAAGTTTTAAAATATTTGATAATTAGATGGTTGGAAGGCACAGAGTACTATGATAAACATTTTAGTAGTATAAAAGATGTTTGTTGCATTATCCTGATAACAGCTGTCCCACACACAAATAGCATGACTTAAAGCAGGGTCAAAGCATATGCTGTGATGTAACAGTAGAATTAATAACAAACATGTAACAATTAAGGATGGAAACTGATGCATCTCTGGTTGCCTAAATTATACCGAAAAATGATAGAAAACAGCCCTTTTTTTATTCCAATATATCTTTTTAAAGCAATGGAAGAAAGTAGTAAAATTTCATATCACATTTGGCAAAGTATAAATGAAGACAGTAAAGCAAAAATTAATTGGGATAGGTAAATAATTCGTGAGAAATTAATTTCTAAATATGAAGGTTTTTTGGACTTCTACAAATAAACGATTATTTCTTCATAGTATTATAGAATTATGCGATTTTTTATATAGTTGTCTTTTAATACATAAACTGATTAGACTTTATTTCATAGTTTGTTCATCACTTTATTATTTAAAAGGTTATATTGGAATAAAATTATTTAAAAATATTCATTCATAAATAGCATTATATCGGACCTTTAATTCGCTTGATTTGTAATAGATGTCGCACTAGTAAAAATTTATTTATGAATGGACTCGGGTTATTTTTAACGAACAGCTGTTGTATTGTGGTTAATTTGGTATAACCTGATTCTGAATTGGTAGTCATGATTTCTGTTAATTGATACGTAAATATTTAAAGAATGTCATGATCATTTTAGATATATTTTTGTATAAAAGTATATAAGTAACAGTGCAAGTCCATACTATTATATAATTTTAGAAAATATGAAATATAAACAATTTTTAGTTTATTTAAAACCATAATTTATAATTAATATACCTATATTAGTATCTACGGTTAGTGGATAAGAGGGAAAACATTTTTATTTTCTATTCTACTAGAAAAAGTAATTCGTGACAAAAAATATTTTGCTTTTTAATTGAATACGTTTGTCATGAAAAACTGTAATAAATATATATACAGGGTGATCAGAAATTTAACAAAATTAATAACGTTGAAGAATAAACTGCTTTTGTTTTTGATAATATAAAAAAAATGTTAATAAGAAAAGTTGTTCATAACGGAAAGTTACGTTATAATTACGATTTGTGAATAAAGCGGCTTACTTTGGTATAAACAGAAATGGAAAATATTATATTTTTAATAATTAATATTAAGTAATTCTTGATAAAAAAAATTTGCATATTAATATAAATAGAATTTTAATTGTGAATATACATAATAATGAGAAAATATAAAAAATATGTACGATATACTTATTTTGTCCAAAAAATGTGTAAAGAATTATGTACAAAAGGACGATTTGAGTCTAAATTTTTTTTATGAGAAATAGGTAATTCAGTTCACTTCAATTGAAAAAATAGTTGTCTTATAGGTACTTTAATACCTCCAATATAAACAGAAATTCTGTGGAACAGTGTAGTTTAATAAATATGTAAATAAATGAAAGTAATAAAGAAATAAATAGAATAGGTACAGTAGAACAGGAAAAAATTTAAAAATTCATAAAATAAAATTATTTCTTTTTATTAATTTGAGTTTCTATAATATATTCTGGATCCATACATCTTTTTCCCTGTGGAATATTTTTGTATATTATTTCTGGTAGTATACAATTTTTATAAAATTGTTCCAAATTTGTTGCCATTGATTTTTTCCATAATTCTTCATATTTCTTAATTTGTTCTACATAGAGTGGGTTGTTTTCACCACTATAGGTATATTACGAAATAACATATAGACTTCTTCCGGTTCCGTATCTGAAAGTAAGAAAAGAATTTTACCAGATAATATTTGTTATAAACATAGATAATTATACATTTTTACCTATTATGCTTTTGATTTACCATAATGATATATCTAGTCATATATAGGGTGCCACAATAGTGCGATAAAGTTTAGTATAACTGCCTGTAGTAGTGATACGAAAAAAGTTACTTGCTCGGATTCACATTTTATTATTATTTCCATTATTCATTATTTTCAGACCGAATTAAACGTTCAGAAAATCTTGTTTTTGGCCTGAAGATTTTGCCCTATACAACTATAACTGAAAATAATTATAAACTTTGTCACACTATTGGAACAGCCTGTATGTGCATTGCAACGACAATATGTCATATTTATATTACGGCTAAGTAAGCGGAAAGTCCATTGTCGCATATGTAATTTTTATTTTCAAATAATCAAATACAATACCTACATATTTATTTTAATATCTATTATTTACTTGAATTTAGTACTAAGTACAACTATGCCTAGCAAATTGTAATACTTACTCTGTTAATGTTTTTTCCTTCATATAAAAAATAGTAAACTCCACAAATAAAATATTTCGCAGCCACAACGCAACAATAAAAGATAACAGCTCAAAGATCCATACAAGAAATAATTACATTCGCACCTACTCTGGTCCGAATCCATATAAGTACTAAAATGTAGAAAATAATATGAAATAAAACTTTTAGTTGGCTGCAAATATTATAAATTTGTACAACCACTTGCCATCCTCCTTTTTTGTAAATATGTACATAATAATATGTAGAAGATAGAAAATAGAAATATTTTCAGAACAAAAAACCGGCGGCCGCAAATTGGAGTTTTTATTATTTTATTACCCTTCTCTTTTCATATGCAATTATGAGATAGCAAGAGAGTGGGATGGACGTATAGGCCGGACAACTGATTATCGTGCACGTGTGCGTGCACCTGGCATTTTCTCGTTTTTTTTTTAGGTGTATTTTGCCGGAATTTGAATGAATGAAATTATCCTACTATTTTTACTATAAACGTATTTCCTGTAACGACATCTATATGAATATTGTAGTACTTTGTTAGATGAAACGGGACTTCAATTTCCGTTCTTAATAATACTTGATTCTATGTTATTTTTTATGAATCATATATGAAATCACATAAAACTCGGTTATCTGGACTAGGTAGGACCAGTGGTGATCCAAATGACAGAATAATACATATTTGGAGTATGTATTTTATTTCCTTTAATAAGCTTTGTTATACTATCCAGAGGTACAAAAACATAATAAAATAAACATGCTTTATTCTATGTAATATTCAAACTAAATATTTGGATAAAAAAACTTATTAATTATTATATGCTATACTTATATTGGTTTACTTATGAGTAAGCTAAACGCGACTGATTCATCAAGGGGAAGTTAAAACTATAATAGTTTTGTAATTTTTTTGATTTCCTGTAAAATTGGTTTCTGTACACTGACTTCTGTGACTGAGTGACCATGACCGATTGATTCTGCAATTATCCCTGCACACCAAGCTTATATTCTTTTGAATATGTCTCGTGGATTACAAAATGTGTAGGCTTTAAATACTTTGTTTTTTAAATAAAATGATGGGGTTCTACTTATAGCATATCAAGAGGGTCTTTATAAAAGGTGATATTTCAGTTTTTGATAACTGAAAATTTTGTAGCTTTAAAAATTATTTAAATGTTTTCCGGTCTTAGTCAATAATGTTAATAAAAATTGTGTTATAAAAAGGAAACGTGATTGAATCATCCATTCAAATGTTTACTAAAATCGTTAAGTTTTGTCCAAACTTAATTCTAAATTACCTACTTATCGTTTTCGTAATTTATTATAGAAAATGTCCTAATTTGTGTAGATTTTTAATATTTTTCGATGTATTATTATTTTTAGACATACAGCTTAAACCTTGACAGTTACTAATAAATATTGGACTTTTTAATTTACAGTTTATCAACAGTGTGTATCAGTCGCCGAACACATGGTGTAATCATCAGAAATGTGCGACTGATACTTACAAGGTGTGAAGAATCAAAAGTGGAGGCACTGACAGACAATAATGTGATTTTATTTATTGTTTGCTTTGTGGCTGGTTACGTATTGCAGTCCAATACTTATATATGTACTGTACTATATGGTTGTTTTAGAGTTGATTTTAGGTGGTGTGGGATTAAGGATTTTTGACCAACCGGCTCATTGCGGCTGTTATCCCTAATGGGATATAGCAGTGGTGAGCACGATGGTCAAACACCCTTTTCTTGATGTCTAGAAGCTGCGAGCGGCGGGTTGGACCGGGATGTACTCTCACGCGGCAAGTGTCTCCAGGCGCTGGCAGCCCTCAGACATACGAAATGGTTCCAGGTTTGTGTCTCTTCTCACACCGTGTGCGCACAGCGCTTACTTCCATAGATTATTTTAAGACTCCCCATAATTTGAACTAGTATTATGATGATGTGAGTTTTTGCATTAGTATTTGTACATTAGGGAATCGGAGTTTCATGTTTGTTTATACTTCACTTAAGTTATTTATTATTTTACTAGATTTTTTGCTTCTATTCCCTTATTTAATATATAACACAAATTTAGTAAATCGGAAAAAAAAATCACATCTCATACACTTTTTTAATTTTTAAAGGGTTCTACATTTCTGTAGTTAAATTATTTTTATTTTTTATTGACTTCATTAACTATTTATGAAACAATTGCCAATCAAGTATTTGAAAATCATTTTTGTGGAACCCTCAAAAAATTTTAGGTAATAGAAAACTTTATTGATTTTGAATTTCAGGCTAGGGCATTGGGTCTACATTCCTGTGTAGTAATCATACGTATTTTGCGGGATTTATGTCAACGAGTGCCTACTTGGTCACCATTAAGTTCATGGGTAAGTCTTAACCATGTATCAATGATCAGTAACTACTAAGTTTTGTTGCAAAACACTTTCTGCCGATGTTCATAGCTGTGAGAAAAGCATTTTCTTTGAAGATTGAGCGTTTGTTTAATAGACTCGTGTGTAAATTCAATTAAAAATATAAAATAAATACAGGGTGAGTCAGCGCTGTGACAAAGTTGATTTATTGCTATTGCACTCTGATGATGTTTTTTTCTAAATAACTCCGAAACCAGTTGCAATAAATTTATGAAATTTGATAACTAGCTTAACTCTTATCTCCAGTCCACTACTAAAACAAAATTTACAAATTTTCATCACATACGTTCCAAATCTGGGGGAGGAGGGGGTAAAATTTACCATAACTTTTTTATGCTTTGACTTTTTTGACTTGACTGAAAACGATGAAATTTCAGAGATTCCTAGTAAAAAAAGGTACTCTTTGTCCGTATTGATAGAATGTTCCATTTTTGTGTAAAATCCGTTTAAAAATAATGTTACATCTGTTAATCACCGGGAGTCGAAATTGTCAATATTTTCTATCGTAGCGGGATGTGAGAACAAAAACACGTTTGGTGTCATTTGCATTGACAGTTCAGTTATTTACTTTTTACTAGTTGTTATTTTCATAGGAATTTATTATTTAAATAGTAATACAATAAACTAATAAAAATAATTGAAAACCACACTTAATAAAACTTATCTTTGTATCAATAGTAATTTTTAGCTCAAAAAGATTTTGACGAATACATTTTTCAGCTCGACATCGAATTGCCTGCAAAGACCTCAAAACTTCAAAATTATTTTGTCTTATTTGATTCGCAGCTAAATGAATCCTCTGTTGTAATTCTTTCAAAGGATTTATTTCTGTAACGTAAACTACAGCCTTCATCCACAGAAAGTAATCTAGGGGATTTAGGTCTAGAGATCGAGATAGCCATGGAATGGGGCCACCTCTACCTATCCACCTGCCAGGAAAATGAGATCGTTTAACCAATTTATAACGTTATGAAATTTCATACTTTTCAGTCAAGTCAAAAAAGTCTAAGTAAAGCTAGTTACCAAATTTCATAAATTTATCTCAACCAGTTTCGGAGTTATTTAAAAAAAAAACATCCTCAGAGTGGCTCCTTTAAGTGGCTATAACTTCCTTAGGAAGAATTTTTGGACCCACGTTTATATAAAGAAATCTTTTTCGACATAGAACATCCTGTAGAAATATTGCCCCCTAATTTCGGGACACCCTGTATAAAAATGTTTATTATTACTAAAAATTCTATTTTCTTCATACAAGTTTACTTTCATATAAAAATTAATAGCGCACTCTTATCTGATTTATGGTCAAGAAGTACCTACTGGAAGTACTTTTTTGAGAATAATGCTTTATTTTCTGTAGATCATGTAAAAACATGTAGAAAAGTCAAGACCTATTACAATAACTACACAACACAAACAAAAAATGAAGAAAAGATTACAGAATAGTAAAAGTGTGATATAACATATTGTACATTTTTCATTTTTTATTTTTTCAAATTAACTATCTGACACACTGGGGCAATGTATTAAAGATTTTAGGATCCAAGTAAGAATGTGAGTAATTATAAGTAATTAAAAGTTTTGAAAGGAACATAACATGTCTAGTATTCACTGAGTGAATATCTACATTTCGTTGATACTTATCCTTATTATTAAAAACATAAATACTAACTTCAAATAAGTATAAACATAGGGTCAAAATATCAAATTTTTTAAGTAGCAACCTACAGGAATGACTTAGATATAGTAACTAAGCAAAAATAAGTACATCCATTTTTGATCCAGGTGGCTAAAATTGTAGATCAATTAAATGGTCTCTAAGAATTCTAGTCCACACATTCAAAGAGAACTTGATGATGTACTTTGGCTAAGGCATGTGGATTTTCTTCTGCCTATATGTTGTGATAATTATGAACTTTCTTGAAAAATTAGCTTTGTAAACAAAATATGTGCCTAGTCTTATTGTATACCTATAGAGCCTTCATAATTGATTACAAGCCATGTGATAAAAATGATACAGGATGTCAAAGTGAAAAATAAAAAATGGTTTTTCCTTGATAATTTCGAAAGTTTTAGTCAGACATGTTTCAAATTTTATAGCGAGATTTTTTCAGGGTGTGAAAAATATAATTTTAATTTTTTTGTCAGCCCTTGTATACAGCCATATGAGACTAAATAAGAGAGTTTTATTTTGTGTCTTCTGTCGGCAGCAGCGGCAGAGTATGCCATCTGTACCTGGTGCAGCAAACGACACACTCGGAAACCACAAACCATAAAATAATTAAGGAAACTGCATGGGAAAACAATTAGAGTAATAATAAATGATAATTTTAAGTAACATCTAATTCTACTATCTAATAGATGTCGCTGCACCATAATGGCGGTAAATTTAAATGTAATAAAATAACACTAAGAATAAAAAGTATTTCATAAGTAATAGATCACAAAACAGCTACTAATGGTTTAAGTTAATAATTAAATTAAGATGTACCATTAACAGCTGATCCATGACCTATTACTTATGAAACACTTTATCAGTTGGTTAAATAAGTAAGTTAAAACACAGGCCCGGTCTGGCTCATTCGGGGGCCGTCGGGAAAAATTGAAATCGGGGCCTATTGATGATCTAAATAAAATAGTTTAGGATAAGAAAAAATGGATTTTGAATGAGTTACTACAGTTTTCGTGGACAAAATTTTTATTGAGAAACAACTTGCTACACTAATAAGGTACAGAAAAATTAAACATTTTCTATTATTAGATAAAAATTGTTAATAATCAATAATGCCATAAAAGGAAAATTTATTACGATTCAGTCAGAATCATCTTGGTCAATATTACTTTCTTCCTGGTGGTCAGTGTTACTAGCAGGCGGAAGGGAGTTGTAAAATCCATGATACATCGGTGGTATCAAATTAGCTTTACACAGACCCAAAAGACCGTTTAATTTTTTACCATCAATTGGCAGCAAACCTTGATACAATCTTGGAAATTGATATTCTTCGCGTTTGCGTGTATTTTTGTTTGTAGGTCTAGTTCTTTATGATTTTCTCCAAAATTATACACAAAAAATTCTTTATTGGGACACTTTGGATTGCAGTGGATTTCTCTGATTTTTACAGCCTCTCCAGTAATATCTTTTTTCCAGTTTTGTTTCTTTACCATTGGTTTAAAAGTTGCAAAATCTTGAGACATTTCTTTTACTTTGTACTGTGGGGCAGTAACTTTGGCCATTTTTATTAGACTAATCCACTGATCAGGACTATCGGGAGTGTATATAGCAGAGTGATGTTTTTTTGCAACTTCAATCACAGCATGTCATTTTATTCTGCCTGTGGCCAATTTCAAGAAAACGGTGCGTTATTTCCAAATCCAAAGTCATTGATGCATAGGCAAACATCGCAAAAACAAAACGATAAAGGTTTTGACCACCGCTATTGTCAGAATAAAGAATAACCTTTCGTATGCCATTTTCTTTAACCTTTTTAAGAAGATCCATAAACAACTTCCAATTTCATCCGGTCCTCTCTTCGATATTTACTCATGCCATACATAGCAATAGACTTGATTGCTGCCTAAATCATAAATTGTAAAGTTGTATGTTTCGATTTTACTTTTATAATAATCGTCGTCTTCTGACTTGGGCGTTACTAACACCTGCAAATCCAAAGCATTTTATCATTTTTCGAAAATTCTTTATCAATGTGTCATATTATTATAATCATCTTCCATTTTTTCTGTTCTCTTCTCGGAATCTGTATTCTTAAGGGCACTACACACGGAACACTCTTTTTTTGGCTTAAAAAAAGCTATATTAAATTTCAAATTAAGTGTATCCCTGTATTGTCTGAGTGTAGCTACTGCATCCCATTTTTGTTGTTTTGCATATTCTAAATACATTCTGTGCATTCGTGAAATACTCAAACCTTCATCCGGGTTCTTATGCGGTCTAGTGTTGGGTTTTCCTCTTCTGTCCCGTTCTACAGCACCACCTTCATCAGTTTTTTGCAAAGCGGTGCTTACAACTCTTTCAGAAATTGCAAGCGTATTATTAATTATGTATGTTATTATGTTGTTTTATGTCGCTCTTGGTTTTTCTAATTTTGTTATTTTCTCCAAATAGTTACTATTAAATTGACAATAAATAAGTATTTTGCAACAATTATTTTTTTCCTGTTATTTTCACAAAACAGATTTCTTTCGAGCAGGGTTCAAACATCTTCATATGTAAGACAATGCATTTTTTATGGAAGTTACAAGTGTATTCATGTACGCTAAAATATATGTCAATAACACATTAATTTTAAAATATCTGTTACCGATACACAGATATCCGTATTAAGTATAAATGCTGTGAGGCAATGAGTTCCAACCGTTAATATTCCTGGAGGTATTAAATCCGAAATAATTTATAAAATCAACAGCTTTAGCCATTTTCAATACGTATACCTCTTTATCTCTTAGATATAAAAGTCCAATATTTTATATTTTGTTACTAAAAACTGTATATGAGGGCTGACAAAAAAGTTAATACATAACATTGCCTGCAGAGGGTGCCCCGCACGCGACAGCCAAAAATGATTATCATATTATTTTTCCCGCCCTGAAAAACTGACTAAAATGCTAGAAATTATTAAGGAAAAACAATTTTTCATTTTTACACCTTGTATTTTTTTTTCATTATTCAATTTGGGGAATAGGTATGTTAGGTTAAATCAATTTAAAGCATGACTCGAGGCGAGAGTAAGAACGTTAGCAAAATCATAAAATTACAGAATGTCACCTTTTATGTGAAAACATGGCAATAGGTTTATAGTTTGGTTAATGGTAGCTGAATGTTGTTAATAGTTGCTATTGATTACTTATACTCCATTTCTTGGGTATTTCAGGCAATGGAATTATTGGCAGAAAAGGTAATCTCATCAGTTCCTGGTCAAGTACAACTTTCTCCTGGAGATGCCCTTCGTCGAGTTATGGAAGCTGTAGCAAGTGGTTTGTTGTTACCAGGTGGTCCTGGCTTGGGTGATCCATGTGAGAAAGACTCTCCAGATGCTGCTGTTGCTTTGTCACCCCAGCAAAGGGAAGATCTTACCTGTTCGGCCCAATATGCCTTGAGATTAATTGCTTATAGGCAAATATATAAAGTAGGATTTATAAAAAAAAATATTTGTGGCATTGCTAATATAATTATGATTTAGGTATTGGGAATGGATCCATTGCCAGCACCTCAAAAGGTATTCCGTCGAGACAGATCTGCACGTAAACGTCGCCGTTCAGGGGGAGAACAAGAAGGTTCAGAAAGTATGGGTTCGTTTTTTAATTATGTTTTAGTTAAACCACTAAAAATTAATAATTTCAGGTGATACAGGGAAAATGGTTAAAACAGAGGGTGGAGATACACCCGCAGAAACTCCCGTCAAGTAATTTAAGAAATAGTGAATAATTAGTTATAATAATTAATATTATTTTCTATATTTTACAAGTATTTTGATGTATAGGAATGATTTTTTTTTTGTAAATTTGTGGACTATGAATTTCACTGAAGTATTCTCTATGTAGTTCCAATGTTTTCTAGATGTATGTGTGATCAAAAAATATATTCCATTATGTTTTGCTTTATTTAAAATTGTATTAAATAAACCAAATTGTTTGTAAGAATCAGTTTTTTATTTTTTTTACTGGTTGTGTGGTGTGGTCTCAAAGTGCAAAAAAACTCAAAACTTATGTTAAGGTCACAATTTTAATACAGGGTGATTGGGGAGGAATCCCCAATATTCCGAGGAGGTGTTCAGGGGGTTAAAGTGAACAGAAAAGCCTAATAAACATATGGTCAAATATCAGCAGTTACTGAGATAGCAATGAAAATATTTTTACATGAGAATTATTGTAATGCATGAGTGGAGAAAAGTATTTATTCTGTATAATAAATTATATCAAAAATTAAAAAATTAATTAGGTGTTCAAATATACCACTGTCCACCTCGATGCATGCATCAGCTCTTGTGTGGGTTGCATGGGTAGCTTGTTGAAGTGCACAATGATTTTCTCAAGTGCTGCACAATTGAAAATCCGATCGAGTAGTGTCTCTTGTATTCACTTTTGTTGCATAAACTAATGATTAAACCATCCTCCAAAGGCAGTAATCAAGAGGATTTAAATCTGGTAACCTTGATGGCCAATTTTAGTAACCACCACGCCAATCCAGCGATGTGGAAAGCAATTGTTGAGATGACTAATCACAACACGACTAAAATGTTCAGGGGCATGGTTTATCTAATATTCAATGGAACATCGTCCAGTAGATCTGTCAATTATTTTTTAAATATCTAGCTCCAGTAAGACGATTATCTAGCACAAGTGGGCCAAGTAATTGATTATTAAACATGCCACACCATACGATAACACTAAATCGATGCTGAAAGTTGCTTTTTTCTGTGGCATGCAGATTTTCATCTGACTAACGATGTTCATTGTGACAATTATTTACTCCATGAGTGAACTGAGCCTGATGTACTTGTAAACTGTATGGTTTTCGTGTATCCAATTGCAAAAATGCAACCGCAGATCATCACCTTCCTGCAGATTCTGGACATATTGAATATGCAACAGTTTTAAACCATTTTTGTGAATGGTTTCCCATGCTGTAGTTTGCTTCAATTTAGCGGTTTTATTAAATTCATTACTCCATTTTTTAAGTTGTAGAGCTGACCCCTACACAAAGGTAGTGAATTATATGTACTTTAAGTGTGCACAAAGCAGACGCTGTCGGACCATTAGCTTTGGCACAATTGTAATTTGAACGTATATTCTAATTTTCTGATAAAATGATGCGAAATAGATGAAAAATTCCTCCAAACATGCTCAAAAAGTAGATATATAGGTACACAAATTTGAATATTGTTAGTTATAGTATAGTTATTAATATTACAAAATGTAATCAAAATTCCTTAACGGTGTACAAGGACACCTAAATATGTATTATTTACGCACTATGAAAAGGACATTTTGTAAGAAAACTTTCAAATTCACGTTTGATGTCAAGATTTCACATGATTGTCAAAAAATGCAGGAACAAAACAAGGAATGTACAGATTTCACATTGTGATTCCACAATAATATTAAACTATACTATAACTAACAATATTCAAAATTGTATTATATCCACTGCCCCTCATCTTCCTCCACTACTCGACAGCGTACGCGCACTCGGCCGTTTTTGAGCATGTTTGGCGGAATTTTTGACCTATTTCGCATCATTTTATCGGAAAATTAGAATATACTTTTAAAATCCGGCTGAAAAATTAAAATCGGACCACCTCCAACGCATCCAGAAATGTTACAAAAAGTGAACCAAAAAATTCAAATTACAATTGTGTCAAAACTAATGGTCCGACAGCGTCTGCTTTGTGCACACTTAAAGTACATATAATTCACTAGCTTTGTGCACAGGGTCTGCTCTACAACTTAAAAAATGGTGGAGTAATGTATTTAATAAAACCGCTAAATTTTCCCATTTTTCCGTTTTTTTTTTCATTTCCAGTTATCTAGTCGGATCGATCGACCTCGTTTTATTTGTATTTCGATTCTCTACAAATTGTCTATAGCATTCATATTGCTTCGTTAGTTTAGGTTTTATAAGCAAAAAGCTAAAAAAATTGCGTTTTCCTGTACAAAAATTTTTATAAAAGGTAAATTGGAGTAGGAAACATTAGGATATCTACAAACTGTCTTTTTGAAACCCACTTTCAAGGCCTATAACTTGTCAGGGGTGCAGCTTAGTATAAAGGTAAGTTACGTTAAATCACCATATTTTGGGTTCTCTTACATGACCCTGTGCTGTGTCGGTTCTTATGCGAAACACCCTGTATATAATTTTGTTTTATTAATATTTACAAATTCCATTTACATGGAGGCCACTTGAAAAAGCAATTTTAAAGTGAGAACATCTTATGTATCCTGGCCATTTTTGTGTTGGTTTGACACAATAATGGGTGAGGGTAATGTTAAACCAAGGGGAATACATTATAAAGATTACGTTATTTAATAATTTCAATATGTCGAAATGTGTGTTTTATAATTTAATATTTAGGTCTATATTTTTTATTTTTCTTTCAGATAATTATTAGTAGCTATATACTAGATATTGGGTATAATCCAATCTAGTCCAACTTAGGGTATATAGTGCACAGAAAAGTTGATTTCCGCAATATCATCAGCATTAGTTGATTACGTTGCACGCAAAACTTGGATCATTAAGGGTCTTGCTTATATAACTTACAAATATTTAATGCGTCATTAGTACTTGTGGATGATTGGATTATTGGTAGATGGCATATGGACAATGGAACTCATTCACAATTTCTCGCGTGCCTACAGTATTTTACTATGTAAAATTTCATTTGAGCAGATTTGGCTTGCCACTTGAGGTTTTGGAGGAGCTAAGCTGACTTAAAATAGCAAGGAATATTGAATATTCCCACCCGAGAAAGAAATTTTATTTGAGTTCATATCTGATGGCTACGGGTTTGGAATCTCAAAGGCTCAATTCATAAAAACTATTTACGATTAAATGTCTTGTTATGTATTTGTATATTTGTAAAAGGTTTATATAAAGATAATAAATTGCAGGTTATAAGTATAATTTTTCTTATTTAAAAAAGATAATTTGGATTAATAATATTGCTGGCAATGCTAGCAACACTTGGAACACTTCATATTTATTTTCATGCATAATCTGTAAACCCTTTGGCACAAAAGTTTATTTAATAGGAACGCACCTGAATCAGAGGGGGCCACCAATCCGAAAATAACTCTTACAAAAGTTGTTGAGTTCGGAGGGGGACATCGGATAGTGTCCTTCAATTTGATCTTGACCTTCAAGGCCATTTGCGGTGTCTTGAATATTTATAGGAAAAAATGACAACTAGGTATATTATAAGATGTTTCAATTTATTAAATTATATATCATCTTCATATTATTTTAACATAACTAGATAGTACCACGGTTCATAAATGCCATGGTAATACTAAAATCATATGTGTAATTATCAGTTTAACAACTACTTATACTTGCTAACACAAGATATGTACAAATTAATTTTAACTGCTTGCACATTTAATCCTGAAAAATAAAATTAAAATTAAAATTTCAAATTTATTGACAATCTATTAATGTCTGATTACATACACATCCTCAAAATATTAAACAAATTTTAATTACCTGTATTGATTAATTTCAGTTAATAAACAAGCATTTTTTGTTTTTATATAAATGCAAATAGCATTTGATGTTTTTGTTCTAATTTTTAGTTGCTTTTGCATTATTATTTTCCTAATCAATGACTGAATTATTATTTTCTTTCAAATGTACAAATACATGCCTGATTCAGTGGAAATTATTGTTATAATTTCATCACTTTAAAATACTTACATCATTAAAACCATGACTATAGATAGATAAAAAAATTATATGTATGTAGAAGGAAGAAAGCAAGTAAAAGGAAGAAAGTAGATAAATAATTGAAAAGTTACACTTTCCCACTAGTATACCTACTTACCATCTAGAATACCTACTTTTACCAAAACAAATAATTGTTTATATTATTAGGCATTATAAGTAAATAATGTTTAAGAAGATATTTCCATTTCTCATTTAGGATATCACAAAAAAATGTTTCTTATTTTCTAATTTAATGAAAATTTTTTATATTTTTAAGGGTTAAAATATGTAATCAGATGAAAAGCAAGAAGAGTAACAGTCAATTAATAGCAACACCAACGCACACAATTATCCCATGCGGTTTTTATGTTATAATGAACACCAAACCATTTATAATAATCTACTCACCCACAATCAGCCTTTAAGTTTCTTATGAATCTCAAGTGATATGAAAGTTCTGTGAAGAATTTAAGTACCAATATTTTGAATACACGTTAAAATTTAGTTAAACAATCACATGATCGATTAAACTGGGAATATATCTGCATGCATTTATACATGACTACTTATAATCTAATCACCAAATTAATTAAATGAATCAACTGGTTTTCAAAATTCTGGTCCTTAGATTCAATATTTTGAGAAATGGTAAATTACTTCGTCGTTTAAGTATTAGAATAGTTAATTAGTTATTTTAACCAGTAGGTATTCAAAATATAATATCTTAATGCTTATAGAAAATATGATAAAAGAGTTTATAGAGTTATGTTAAAATTAAGTTAGTAGAAAATTATAATAGAGATGTTATTAGTTTAGCAGAATAGAAAATTAATGAAGAATAATGAATAAAAAAATGTAGATAAATAAGATATAAAAATGTGTTTTTTACCATTCACGTCTATCAAATTCAATGTCACGATACTTTTTGGGTAAAACTGGCATTTACCTGGAGGCTTAGGACAGGTACTAAATTAATCATCTACAGAGTGTATTGAAATTAATGGATTATTATTATTCTTCAAGATAATTTTAGAAAAATTAATAAGAATTTTGTACAAGTCTATATATCTGGTTTTCCGTTATTCTGAGTACATTTTATTTTCTGCAATAGTGGTATACTTGTTACATGTTGTTAGAACACATAGTTTAAAGAAAATGTTTTTCATTTTTCTACTTAAATTCTCAATTATGGACACCCGAGATTTGGGGTGTTGCAGAACTTTTTAGCTAAATTTGTAGCTATATTATACGTTTCATTAAGATTTTGATCAATATCCTGGGATCTCTATGAAAAACTTTTTCCCGAACAATAAGTTCCAGTATTATAAAAGATAAAATACACCCAATCTTTCTTTTATAATAATTAATTATACAGGAGGGTCCCGAGGTAATGGGCCAAAATTCATGGGTAGATTCCCCAAGTAAAAATATTGCGATTTAGCTGAAATTACCTTAGTCCAAAAGTTGATAGTTAAAGAGATACAGGGTGTTCAATGTAGAATATTTCAGTTTTTTTTAATTTATTCCTTAACAAATGCAAATATCTACACAAAATTTTGTGAATTGGAGTTCTTTGAGTAGAGGAATTGAAATCTGTTCACATTTTGGTTAAAGTTCATAGAGGGTGCTAGCTGCAGTAGATTGAATGTGTTAAAACGACATAACTTTTTCGTACTTTAAGGTATCTTATCTTTGGTAACAAATTCTTATTTTTCAATTTTTTTTACGCAAAAAAGGTATACTTTATTAAAGTAGCTATCTCGCACCGTTTTCGAGCTATTTGGCTTTGAAACTTCCAATTCTGTTGCATTAAATTACAATTAAGTACCTACAGGTATTATTAATTTAGCGGTAAAGTTTCTTAAGTAGGATTTGGACGAAAATTAAAAAATTCACGTCTTCCACTTGTCTTATTGCTGTCATTTTATATGCTAATTTCTATTAAGTATTATTTGTATCTAATTAAAATTACATCTTAGCTTATAAATTAAATTGTATACTCGTATAGATAAATGTGAGATAGAATTCCGACGTTTTCGTTTTTGGAGTTACATGAAATCAGTTGTTTATGGAGAATCTATAAACACTTGAGAAGAACTTTAGTAGCAGGTTTTAAATCCTGCAAAGTCATTTTGCATTAAGGATTTATACTTTAAAATAAGACAATCTTTTAATAAACGTGTTGATAAATGTATTGAAGTTAGAGGTGGACATTTTGAGCAATTATTGTCAAAAAGGCATATTTTTTACTAATGTTTACTATTTTACTGTTCATTACAATTTTTAATTCTAAATAAACCCTTGTTTTTGATATTTTTAAATTATTTTAATTATTTCAACTATTAGCATTGGAAGTTTCAAAGCCAAATATCTCGGAAACGGTGCGAGACAGCTACTTTCATAAGTCTACCTTTTTTGTGTAAAAAATGTTGGAAAATAAGTTATGTCGTTTCCAGCACATTCAACCTACGGCAGCTGGCGCCCTCTATGAACTATAACCAAAATGTGAACAAATTTCAATTCTTCTATCCAAAGAACCCCAAACCCCAAAATTTTGTGTAGATATTTGTATTTATTAAGAAATAAATGGAAATAAACTAAAATAATATTTTACATTTAACACCCTGTATCTCTTTAACTATCAACTTTTGGACTAAGGTAAGTTCGGCTAAATCGCAATATTTTTGCTTCGAGAATCTACCCATTAATTTTGGCCCATTACCACGGGACCACCCTGTATATTTTTAAAGCTATAATTTATATTATATATTTTTATATTTTGTTGAGTTTTCTTAAATCTTATCTTTAAATTTAATAGATGATAATCAAACCACTTATATTATGCATTTATTTAATTTTTTTAAATTTTTTAAAGATATAATTTGTCACTCATGTTTACGTCTTATTATTAATTGACATTCATCCTAAAAATTCTGGGATTAAAATAATGGTTCAGTATTGACTTTCGGTAACTGATGATTATAGTTTTGCATACATTTTCGTGGCATGCACAAATATACCTTTTTTTATAGTAAATAAAGTGACCAGTATATTTCTTCAAAATTTCTATCAATAAAAAAAATATATATATATACAAAAAACCCATTAGGCTAATCAAAAACCAGTGAGAGTTTTTGTAATAAAATTAAATAAAATGTTTTGAACGCCAATAAGTTTTGATGGAAGCAACATTATATCAAAGTAACTTGATCTAAATCAGTTCGTTTTTGTCCAACTCCCTGTATAAAGTTAGTAATAGCGTTTGAAAATTTTCTAGAATGAAAAGTACCTAAAAGAAATTTTAAGTTTAATGCATAATGAAACATTTTGGATTCTATTTGTATACTCAGTCTGTGAGATACGAAATTTGATTTTACCCAAGAACTTACGAAAATATAACACATTACTGACCAAAAAAATGTTGGTATGTTAAAATAAAACATGTTACTGCATTTCCTAAAAATATCTTATGGTAGAGCAGGTAAACTCGACCACTTACAGTTTTATGTTTTTTTTAAATTTGTTCCAAATCTGCAAAAATATAGGGTATTTTATTTAATATTACGAAGTAGTCAGCTATTTCTGATATAACTGTAACTGGATTAATAATAATGTTTTAATTGAGAACATATATAGAAAATCCCTTTGATGCAGATTTTCATATTTCAATTTGAATTCTGTTTCAATATACATATATGAAAGAAAAAGTAATTTTGAGCGAAGCAATTTGCTTTCCAGATACAAGATGTCGGAATTTAAAAAAATGTAAATAATTCCATAGTCTTTTAAAGTGAAAGAACCACTAGTGTGGGATATACTTAGGCTGTGTTCAGCGAATGGTCGGACTAGTTCGGTCAAACTTCTTTAGTCAAACAATTCACTGAACGGCCTTTAGTAACTGTATTGAAACTTTCCCAATATTCCCAATCAGCTGATTAGGCCGACCAACGAAATATTTGTCTGCTGAAAGACTTTGACCGGTCCAACCAATCACTGAACACAGCCTTACTGATTACTTAATTAAAAAAAAAACATTATTTTCATTGTGTAAACTTTTACTTTTATATTTTAATGGCAACAAAAAATAATCTTGTAAATTTTCTCATGCAAATCATAATTTCACGGGAAATTAGATTTTTCTGATTTCTCAGAAATTTGATAAAAAAATTACCTAAAACCTCCTCCTGGTCAGAAGGTTCACACATCTATAAATAATTTTTTATTTGCTCTATAATTAAAAAGCATATATAAAATATGGGATTAGCCTAAATATTTCAAAAATTAACAAACAGTTAAAATGGATATTTGATATTTATGTAACTAATGCAAAAAGTAAGTGTTAACGAGATGTGAAACTATCAACTGAGACTAAGGCTGAGTCTAACATCAAGCAGAGTGGACAAAAACATTTTGCACAAGTTACATACTTTTTCTATATTTTAATGGTTATTTTAAAAGAAAATAAATCATTTTGTCTATGTCAATGTGCCATAACATAAAATATGTGTGATCTGCCAAAAATGCAAAAATTCCTATTTTTATAACTGACGTTTTTGCCTTTTTGCCAGATCCCCCTCGATATACTGATTGCTATTTTTATAACAATTTGCAGTGCATTGAGATTTAATCAACAATATTCCAGACAAATTTTAATACATCATGCAACTTCGATGATTATTTTT